TGATAGAGCTAAAACTGCAAATTTCTTCCCAAATATGTTGCTAAAATCCATGCTATGTAATGTTTTCAATCACACAACTTCTACGCTATGACGTCTCAACCGCTCAACTATGACGTCAAGCCTATGACACTGTGTTAAGAAAAGACAGAGGCAAAGGGAAAATCAAAGAAAAATGTAATAAACAGAAAATTCAATGTTTTGTAGATGAATATGGAATTTATTTCACTCGTGAGACAGGATTTTTTGATATTTTCACTCGTGCTTCGCACTCGTGAAAATATCAAAAAATCCTGTCCCACTCGTGAAATAAATTCCATATTCATCTACAAAACATTGAATATCCTCTATTTATTTCATGTGTCAGTGCACTAATGATATGTAGAGCAGAATGATAAATTTCAGCGTTTGATAAAAGTGTAAATTATACATATACAGTATTAGCTAATTATAAAAACATATTTGATTTGCCCTGATTGCCATCAATAGGCTAGGTGCACAGGCACTTGGTTCTGTAATGAATTTTTGACCCATAGTATAATTATACTATGGGTAAAAAATTTATTATAGAAACAAGTGCCTGTGGCTAGGTGTGTCGTTTTCAATAGGTGTAGTAAGGAAAACATATGCATTGTTCTCTATACACAGTTTGAAATACAGTTTTTCTCATGCACTGGTTCCTGAAGTCTACTGATATCAATGTTGACTGATTCCCCCATTTCCACAAATATACTAAATTGGATGAAAAATCGCGGACTGTAATAAACGATATTTCAATTTCTTTGAAATAATATATTAATATTTAATTGTTGTCAAAATTTATATAAATAACAGAAATGTATTACACACAATAGGCTGAGTTATACAGTAATAAAAGTGATATTGTGACATATTCCTCTCAAACTTTCTCTTCCCCACAAAGAAGCAGTTCTTTTTCTATATTTCAGTAAAATATCCGTTTGTAGTATTTTGAGATTTTTTCAGCAAGGACAAAGACAAATATGGAAAAAAAAGCGTACATCCTAAAAATTCTTCAACTTTCTTGAATTTTTGTAACAACAAAGAAATTATTATTAAGAGGCTGATTTAACGAGCAAATCTGGCGCCACTTTCCTTAAAATATTGTACATTAAGCTGGTTGGAAAAACATAAAGGTGAATTACAAACAGTTAAAGATCGTCATATTCCCGTGGGTCTGATACAGCTACTGCCCGGAACGTAAGTCCTTGGTCAACTTCCTTCAGATGCGAAATAAATCCGTTTAAATACATTGCTTCCTCTAAAGACTGCATACGTTTCAGTGCTTCCTGTCCGAATTCTTTGTTCAACATTCTTTTTATGGAAACGTACTTTTCCTCGATTTCTCTAAAACCACTTCGCAGACATTCTGTCCGTGTTTGTAACTCCTTGGCCTCCGAGATCAGCTTTACAACCCTTTCTTTCAGTGCCTCGGATTCCTTCCTCTCCTTTGCGAAGTACTCGCTGCATTCACTTTGATTTGATCTTAATTTGTTCATTAGCCGGAAATATTGTTTCATATCATCGCCATTTTCATCGTGATGTCCATTGGACGTATCCATAGTAGACATATTTTCCCTTGTAACAAGAAAGGCCATAACGTTTTCTAAAATACGAAATATCGGTGAACAATCAACTGACGTCATAGTGCGCCAAACAACTTGACGTCATAATGCTCCAGAGCGTGGTTACCTTGGCTTGGTGCCGTAAATACATTCTGCAAAATGTCGGAGGATAAACCCTCCCCTTCCGAAGTGGTCAAAGCCCTGAAATGTGGAGTCTGCTGGTCTTATTTTAACAAACCGCACACTCTGAAATGTGGTCATAGCTTTTGTTTGAGGTATGTATGATTAATATTTTGTTTAATATTTGCAGTGGCGTGAAAGAGTTGTTATTAATTAGTTTCTCTGTTATTTAAGGAATGAATTTAATAGCTACCCATTTTATAGGGTATAAAATGGGTTTGGACAGTTTACGCTTTATAGTGTATAGTTGAGCACACTTGTCTACCGATGCTATCGAAGTATTAAAGAACCTAACGCACTTGTTACATTTTCATAATAGTATGCCTGATTTATTGCTGTTTTCGTAATTGTTGTCGTTTTAAATCAAAAGAACATTCCGAAAAGATTTTTTTTATTTTAAAATTTTCTGTTGAGTATAACCAGTGTGATGGTAACTTGCAAACTAGGAATGCAGCAAGTATCTGGTGAAATCAGTGTTCGTTTTTTTCCCATGCAGTTCTGAGGTACTGTGTAAATAATAATGTTTTATTTGCTAATCTTTCTTCTCCCCCGCACCCGGACGGTGTTCTTTTATCTAAAAACTTAATATTTGTATGATCAATGTGCTTTTAATTTTTTTCAGATGTCTCTACAAAGTGTGCAGAGTTGCTCGAGAAAACAGTGATCATGTTATGCTTTCGTTGCTCAAGTTCCCATGCCCCACATGTAGGTCACCCATGCGTGTTCGATATATCTTACAACGCAACGCATGCGTCAATTACGCCATTCAAGAGTATGTTAACCATTGGAAAAAAGAACGAAATCATGTAAGGCCGACTTTTGCTTCGTGATAACATTGTAACTACTTATAAATATGACCAAAAATATTGATAATAACACTGAAAGTTTTTTTTATAATATCTATTACTTCACGATGAATGGTTCGGGTTTTTGTGAAAGGCTTCGGCCGATCACATTTGATTCCATGCGAGGCATACGGCAAATATTTACTAACCATTTGCGCACACATGGACGCGACGAGCTACTCTGTTTACTATCATAACATGGTTAAACCTTATATGCGCAAGAATTTCATTTACATGACTGTACATTAGTTCGACTTTCCTTTTAGAGTAAAGTTTATTCGTTCATAAGTGTGTCGAGTAATTATACGCGTACATTAGATTATATATTAGGTAATTGACTGTTCTATGCCACATTTTTAATTGACTGTTTTGTAAATTCTTAGGCAATAAGTAATTGACGTCTTCAAATATTACACTTCCCGATCACTTCCTTTTAAAGGAATACTTGTGTTAAACCTAGAATGATGTGGAAGGGAAACTAACTCCTAAGAAATATTAATAGTCCTCTACCGGTGAAACCGGAGGGGACTATAGGTTTTCTCTGAGTCTGTCCGTCCGTCTGTCTGTCTAGCTGTCCTTCTGTCTGTCTGTCAGTCTGTCCCACTTGGTTTTCCGCACTTTTTATCTAAACGCTTGCAGATATTGAGCTGATTTTTGGTATGTGAGTGTATCTTGATGAGTTACAGATCAAGTTTGCATTTCGTTCCGCTTCAAAGATTTTTGACGGAATAATGACCTTTTCAATTTCTCAGGGTTATCCGCAATTTTCTTCTGAACGCTTGCAGATATTGAGCTGATTTTTGGTATGTGATTTACCTTGATAAGTTATAGATTAAGTTTGCATTTCGTTCCGCTTCATTGATTTTTGATAGAATTATGGCATTTTCAATTTTTAACAGGAACCAAATTACACTTGCCGATAGGGGACTAGTACTGCTAATGCAATACTCTCAGAATGCTTGTTTTCCTCTGTTTCAGCTATGTTGCTAAAATATTCAAAAAGTTAAACACCGATCATCATGAGAAAAATCACACAAAAATATTTAACTGATTTATTGTGATTAGCAAATAATCAACAGCTAATGTAAGCATAAGAAAATAAATAAATGAAACATCTCGCAAAAATTTCCTCTTCATCACTTTTCTGTTGTCATTATCTTTAGGTCCGAGAAATGCACCAATTAAAAGTGCGGTCTGTTGGATGTCAGAACTCATTTAATGAAGAACAGGATACCATGTTTGACTGGGATAACGAACACTCTCCAGTGTCAGCCGTAGAGTTTAATCACGTGACCACGAGACTTGATGTCTCATCCTTTCTGTCAGATGTTGCCACCAGTGTGTCGTCTGTGTCCTGCGCAGAAGTTTCGGAGGTGGACAGCGAATTCACTGTTGATACATCCACGGAAGATTCGGATGAATTTGACTTCCATATTGGAAACCGTGATGGTCGAGGTCGTGCGAGAAGTCAAGGACCACGTGGGGCTGTTGTAAATTTTTTTGAAGACATTGCTTTCACGTTTCGAGACATGTTCCGCTCCCCGAATCGCTCCATTATGGCCTTGATTTGGTGTGGTTATACGTTTTCTATAATGCTTATTGCCAATGGCTTCTTCCCTTACATGATTCTGTATAGTTTATTGTTCATCCTTATTCTGTATGCCGAGACCGTCCAACAACGAAGAAGGTGAATTAAAAACAAACCAAAAAAAAAAAAAAATCTCCTCTTTATTCTTGTAATTATTTTCTGGGGATTGTCTTCAAGGATTCTTTATGAGTGGCTTGGATTGTTCATAACATACAAGTTATTTACGTGTAGATAATATCAATTTAATGCGTGAATGCTACTGTTGGCTAACTGTTAATATTGACCGTCATAGACCATCTACACATGCAGTACACAGGCCCGTAGAATGCGGAGGTGGGGGGGGGGGGGGGGGAGTATAGTATTTTGCTATAGTAAATTTTACTTCAGATGCTGGTTGCCTCTCCCCCCCCCCCCCCAACTTTATGATGTTGTAAGGTCGAGCAGTCGCAAATTCCAGGATTTGGACAATAAATAAGCTTTTTTATTTGCTTATCAGATTTTTGGGGGGAAGTTGCCCCCCTCCCCCTTTTTGAAACCGTTGCTACTGGCCTGGTACACCAGAATTATCGTTTTACTAAATCAATGCGGTGTTTTGTTTTGTTTTTTTCACTCATCTTTCTCACTTTGGGTGGATAAAATTAAATAAAGGCACCTGTACTGGGAGTCGATAACAAAAAAGCTGCACTATATGATGTCTATTTAAATCCGTACGGTAACGTTCAGGTCAAAGATAAATTTCAACATACGATGAGAGTAGACCATTTCGTGTGTGTACATTTCTCATATTGACACAGCTGATTGAAGTGAGTCGATTCGAATGAATATTAATTTGAAATGAAGGACACGTTCCTGTGGAAATATTTCTCAGACATCATGTAAGTGTAGTACAATTAATAATTTACAATTAATTAATAACAAAACTTACAACCATTTTATTACGTACAGATTGGATTGAGTTAAATTAATATTTTTATTAATACTTCTTCATAATAATCATCCCTTAAATACACTGTATGCATTATACGTACACTAAATGTTTTTATTATACCTCTATCATGAATACTCAAATTTGATTGGCTTGTTAGAAGGCTTTTAAACTCAATAATGACTCCAAAAAGTACCGTTTACAGCAATAATGACCTAGGAATCATTGCACGCGACCTCGGTCAGGACAGGTCACCTCGTGGGCCAGGTCTCGGGTCCTTATTTCACCATGAAGACCTCATAAGGGGTAATTAATTGTATAATAATCAATAATCACATTAACAAAATTCCGGGGGGGGGGGGGGGAGGGGGAATATAGTATGTGTTCAGAGCACAGGCACTTGTTTCTGTAATAAAATTTTGACACGTATTATAATAACACAAGGTATCCAACTCCGAATTACATGGAGTACCCCCCTCCCCCAGAATCGCACTCATTCACAGGAAATGCACTGGCAAACTGTTTATACCCATGTCTTCTACGATAATTTATCTACACAACCATATATGGCATGCTTATCTATATTTCTAAGATCTCCCTAAACAGCGTCAAAACGCTGCTCGCCGAGTGCAAGAGTCGAACTTATGGAACGCCGGGACTGTCTTATATGAGGATTAAACATTATATGCAGTGTTCTCTTCATTATATGTGGTACTATTTTAATTATATGAAGTAGTTTTTTACAGTATATCGTGTGCAACTTCCATTATATACAGTACTTCTTTCATTATATGATGTAGATGTGTCATTATATTATGTACATCTATCATTATATGAGGTGTTTTTATCATTATATGAAGCGCTTTTTACATTATATGCGGTAGATCTAACATTATATGCAGTGAACACAACAATATATTATGTACTTCTCACATTATATACAGTATATTCATCATTATATGTAGTATTTCTGTTATTATGATGATGCTGATCGTTAAATATTATGTCCGGTGTCGCATAATATTTGGTCCGCCTCGTTTAAAGGTCCGGGGGGACCTAATACGATAACATATAAGGTCCGGCCTGCCTCTATAATAAAAGGTCCGCCCTCGGTTTAATATGCAGATTTTTCTCCTTTATTGATTCGAAATTAATTTGCTTTATTAATCTTTTTAAATTATTTAAGGTATAGTTGTTATAAAAGTGTCCCTCCCAGCAAAATGGAGTTCCAGGGACCTACATGTATGTACATTGTATATATACTAAAAGGATCAAGTCTTGCGATATCTCTCTAGTTGCTGGATTTCGTTAGCCAATTTTAATTAATTATATTTCTAATACTATGATATATTTCAGTACAAAACCTCAAAATATCTATCAAAAAATTATTCAAAATTTGATGTTAGCGCTGATTAACTGTTTGCTCCTTATCGTAGTACATACCTCCCAGGTAGTGCACAAAACAAAAAATGTAAAGATGCAAAGATCTGTTGATCGAGTTAACTTATGGGAAAATCATGTACGACATGTGTCTTTTATAGTTTAAGTGATATCAATATTATCATTGCAAAATAAAAAAAAAATACATATATATAATACGCATACCTTCACTGGCACATTGTTCAGTATATGGTGTTCGTAAGTCCAACAGTGATCATTTCATTACAGTCTCTTTCCTAACAACGTTCGACTTCCACTTCCCAAAAAGAATTTTCATATCTTTCGAAAGATATTTCATTATATCATTAATAATAATTATGCATAATTCTTACGATTCATATTGTACCTAACTATAAAATAATTGGAGGGTCACTTTGATAGGGACTTGTGTTACGGTGTACTAGCCTATCCCGTTGTTGTTAAAACAACATGTCTGTGCTTTGGGGGGTAGGCCTATTGTCTCACCTGACGAAACTTGAAGTCGCATATCCCCCGTGTTTTTATAACCATCGTTTCTTATCCAGTTAAAGACTAACGATTATTTCATTCTACTTGATATCACCCCAGGGTTAACACTGGTTAAGGAAGATGTGCATTAATTGGCAAAATCAAACCAAAGTCAATCGAGTTGAACATTTTAAGCACTAAAACAACCCTCCCCAAAAAAGGAAAAGATTATAAATGGTGTTGTTGTATTTTTGGTGGAGGGGTTTAGCAAAATTATGCTGATACATGTCAAATAGTTTAAAAAGTACTGATGTTGTAGACTTTCCTCCCGCATTAATATTTTTTCCCGGAAAAACGAGCTTGGGTTTAAAAACCCCTCCCCTTTTAGAAAATGAGCCTAGCCTAGGATTTTATTTCCGGGAGTTTTTTTTTTTTTTTAATATTGTTTATTTGATTCCCTACATTTTGTAGTTTTCATTTCTGACGTTTTAAAATTTTCATCTCTGACATTTATCATCATAAAGTACTTTTCCGGCAATGAAAACAAAATTGAAATTTCCCTTATAAAAAAATTAAAGAATAAATCAAGAATAATTCATTGATTTCCAAATAATAAGTTCTGCTTATATTTAAAAGAATCTTATGACGATTTTATCCTCGGACACATGTAAGTGTAAGTTGTGAATTTTTGTTCATCTTTTCAAATCAAGATAATCAGACTGAATTTGATATCAGAAAGGTTTAGGTAGAATTTATGACATACAGAAACTATGTTTGACGGAATAAAGTAATCAAAGTTGAGGAGATTCTGTTTTTCGGTGCTTTCAAACACATATAATTCAGTGGGCATTAAAATTTGGTGATCAAAAATTGCATGTTTTATTATTGAAATTATTGTATTTTATTACTAAACTTTGTATTTTTACTAGACTTTGTGTTGATTGTATTGTAAAATGAAAACAAAAAATGTCGGAAATGCAATGCAAAATTTCGGAAATGACATGCAGCGAGCTTGGAAGAAACAACCCCAGCTTTATTATCCACCATAGGAAATACTCAGTACGCTTCAGTACAGAATTTTCTCCTTTTCCACCTTCTTACTAGGGAGAATCTTATCCACCCATACTATTTACAGAGGGGTTTTACAGAGCAACTTGACATGTATTTCCCCCTAAAATAAAAAGGAAAGTGTCTGTTGAGATCGTGACTGATATAAAAATTCATAAAACACCACCAAGTCGTGTTCTTTTGTTAATATTTTTTATATTTATTTTGATTTTGGTTTAAGTTAGATTTTCTACGACTTTAAGCGGCTATTTCTTTTTTATTTATGTGTGTGTGATGGGGGGGGGGGGGGGTATAGTTCTCTTGTTGCACGTCATCAACATTACTAATTAAATAATAATATATATCCTTTGTCCCTTCAGACAGATGTTTATGGTTGCATATAGATATACAATACAGTAGACACATCTCCTGCAAACGTACATAGAGTGGATAATTAATTGACATTAAAGTTTTGTCTTTTTGTCAGCATATTAAATGAAAAAAGTACACTACTACATGTAGTATATATGCAATTCTTATGCACAATTAGGCCATTCCAAGAGTTTTCTAAGTTAATTTAGCGTCCATCCTAAAATTAAAAACCTAATTATCTTTTTACCCTGGAAAAACACACGAACCAACAAAGAAAAAAAACAATAGGAACTTACAGCATTTCCATAATTTTTGCTTTGTAAGTGAGATACATGTATGTGGGAAAAAAGAAAAACAGAGGGCGGACCTTTTATTATACTGCGTTTTAAGGTCCGCCCTGCCATTTTAACGAGTTATTTTTTTACGCTACGATAACTTTTAATAAACTCTGTTCAAAATATTCGCCTTGTAATACACTGTAAAAAATAAGTGTTTTGAAAATAAACACCAAATTGCCACAGATAATAAACACTTTAACACGTTTAAAATTTAAACACTTCGTGAAGTGTTTAAGAAATAAACACGTTAGAATGTTTAAATTCTAAACACATGACGTTTAATATTTAAATACTTCCTTCTCATTCTGTTTAAATACTAAACACTTCAAAAACACAAAACGTTTAAAGATTAAACACTGAATAAACACAAGGAGTTTACCAAATAAACACCGTACGTGTTTAAAATTTAAACATTTCATGTTTTATTAATAAACACGTTTAACCTAAACACTTAAACACTTGAACATGTTTATTCGATGCAACAGATAATAATCACTTAAACATGTTTATACGTCATTTTTTAAACACTTCAACGTGTTTAATTTACAAAATAAATAAACACTTAAACGTGTTTATAAGTTTTCAACATTTTTATTTGAAACAAACATAAAACAGTACAAAACACACTGTTCTTGATGATGAACATGTACATAAAGCTTAATTAATAAATGATTTAATGTTGAATAGAGATTCAAACTTTATAAACAATTATAACATTTATCAACACATTTGCTAACACACACATGTAGATACATAATTCAATTCAAGTTGAACGATAGAATTATCACAAAAAAAAAAAAACTAGCATGAACATGTAAAACCTGCATGTGAACTAAAATTCAACAAAATTGGTGAAGGGGGGGGGGTGAAATAGGAAAATCGCTTAATAAAATGAAATATTACTTTTCAGGAATAAAATTTTGAAACTTTATTTTAAAAAAGGGAAAGGGCGTCCATTACATCTTTTTTAATAAAACAAACAAAGTCATAATGAAATATAATGCACAAAGACTGAAAATTTTATTTATTGCCTGGGTACGGGATATATACATTGTGTATGTATTGAAATTAATAAATCCAGTTGTACCTGTATAATTTTACTTTCACTAATATTCAGAGTTTTAACCAAATGAAGAAAATTTCCAGTTTTTACCTGTAAACGACTAATTCATTAAATATTCTTGCAACTTCACAAGAGCTGCCGGGGTATCACTCACTAAATTTCATATAATATTCTAACCGAGTTAAACAGTCTCCTCTTCTTGTGTGTAAAATTCAGGTTCTTCTGCCACGGATGATGATATCC